AAATACTATGAGCATCTGTAAAGCCAGCAAATAACACAATTGAGCAATAATGGGGAGGAAGAAATGCTGGGAACTGAATGGGAGACCTGCGTAACAAACAGCTGCTTAACACTGCCTTATATCCCTCCCCATATGAAAAAGTCTTCTATCCCATATGCTGTAGGTACTCACCTGCACTGACTGGCAAATCTGTTCCCTAAGTCTGATAACCTAACATGATCTCTCAGGAAAAGGTTTCCAGAATACATACGTAGGAAGCTACTTCCTACCAAGTCAGACCTTGGTCCCTCCAAGCTCAAAGTTCTCTATGTTGGCTGGCAGGATGAGGGACTGGATTCTTTCCAAGCCCACCTGGAGATGGCAAGGGTCACATCTGGGAGTGTCTGCATACAAAGCAGAGATTAAACTCCTTCCCTTCCTTGGATATGGGAGGAGGTGGTCTCCCTAAGAGTTGGAGCTGCAGACTGTACTTAAACTCCAGTGTGCTTGCTAGCACTCCCCTTCTCTGGAGACACTTAAGAAAGCAGAAGAATCCTGCCACTGTCTTTGTGAGGTACAGGGTTTTTTTTCTGATTCTGTTTTAAGAGACATGGGTCTTTTCTGCACTATTTCAGGGACCTGCACAATGGGACACACTGGGGGATGTCCATTGCGTGGCAGCATAACGCACACCAGAAGCATGGAAAAAAGATTTACAACTCACAACTCTTATGAGTCCCAAGATGGGCTCCTTTGAACCTCCGCAGCTAGTTATTTATGTTCTCTTCTCCAATACAACAACTTTTACTACTTTGTATCTGAATGAAAATCCACACAGCTTTTCCTGCCAGTTACAAGATGGAGAAAAGTTTTCCTCGCGACTACAGAATCACTTCTGAAGTCTTGAAAAACAATGTGCAAATTCAAGGAGACATTCAGAAAGATTAAAGTTATCTCCTCAGCAACTGAATATAGGCAGGTCTACATTCAGCTGGGTGCTGAAAATAGCAGGTCTAAAAGGTCTTCCAACTTCCCGCCGCTATTCCACTGCCTGGTGACTCCTGGCTCAGTGTGACAATTCTTTCAAGGGAAGGACAGACAGAAATTGCAAGCAAACTCTCTCTCCAATGTATAAGGCTGCCCAAGTCATCATGACTGTGGCAGCGCAGAAGTTAAAAACACATCCAGTACAAGAAAAAAAGACGGTGTTAACCCAGGGACTTGTATACCCAGCCCATGAATAAAGTTCCCACGGAAGGCACATGCTTCCCTGACCCAGGGCCCGGGAGAAAAGCCAGGGCTTCAAGGACAGCCTAAAGGATGACGGCACCGGGGCCACTCAAACCTCTGGAGGGAGGGCCAGCACCAGGACAGGGAAGGCACGCTGCCTGGGCCTTATCAGATGATGGTGTTTGAAGGATGGGACCTGTAACATATCCACTTTGTCAGAGTTTACTAGACAGGCAGAAACAACTGGAGAAAGGCAGTTCTTCTGACAGCTAGATCCTATGCCATGAAGGGTCACAGCCAGCACCCTGAATTGTACCCGAAGCCCACTGGTAACCAGCACAACTCAGGAAGTGGGCACACTAAGATCTGTCAATAACCACTCATGCCAGTGCATTCTTGACCATCTGTAGCATCTGAGTGCAGCAAGAGCAAGAAACATTTTACTATCCTTAATGCCATGATATATGTGGGCTTATGTGGGCTCTTGTTAGTATTCAGTCAAGTTCCCTCATCATCTTTCCCCAACGGCACTCTAGGTGATCTCTTCTGTCATTTCATTTCCTGAATCTCCTCATACAACCAGGAAGCCCCAGGGATTGACAAACAGGGAGAGGCCACATAGGAACAATCCAGTCCAAGGCCCATGAGACCCACCTATTCCAGGTAGTAACTAAGGTCTCGGTCAATCTGTCCACCGGATCCCCAGGAAAACTGCCAAGTTCCCTCCGGAACCTGTAACAGGCCCAAATTAGGCTTCTCAAATGCTTTGACAACCACGATGTGCAATTCCACGCATTTGAGGCACGCAGGGGTGGAGGTGGCGGTATTGATTTGAAAATGGCACAAGCAGAAGCTGGAAAGCCAGCACTCAGTCCATGCACGTGTTTTTCTTGTGCAACACCTATTAGTGCCATTTGGAAAATGGAATGCAGCTGGTTGCACCAGCAGCCCAGAAAGTGCTACCACTGCCAACCAAATCAATTTCAGTAAAGCCAACACTTGGAGCAAAAGCATTTTGTCCATGCCCTTTCAGTCCCAAATGGCATTTAATCTGCCTGTTCGCACTCGCTTGATAAGTCATACACTCATATAAAGCTCTGGCCAGACATCTGAAGATGTGTATGTCTAGGCCTGTGCACAGCTTGAAAATGACTTGGAAGAGATGTTTCAGGTCTCATTTGAGTACGGCTCGTATTAAAGCAACCCATTCTTTTTCAGGATCTTTCAGGAAGCCACCCTGAAAGAGGGTCAGTGCTGTGGTCATTTGAGGCATGAAGCACTTCTTCCAAGTCTTGTTCAATGTCTGTAGCCCTGATACATACACCCATATGAAGCTCTTCCTTCCATCTGCCAATCAATCGGAGGCTCTTGTGTCTAACCCTCACTGCTCACTCTTAATTCTCTTCTGAGATCCTTCCATGTGACATTTCAAAAACAATTATGGATACCTGCTGTTATGTCTTTTTTTTTTTTCAGCCTGACAATGAAAGTGCTGAAAAAATTAGACAGGAGTTTTGCAAAGCAAGAACACTGGAGATTTAACAATACAAGTATTTGTTCATTGCAGAGGATGTAAAGAGAAGGAAGAGGAGTTTGGAAATGGTTTATAAATCCAATTTGGTTTCCCCTCCAAAGATGTCATAAGAAGAAAACATTTCCAAGGTCAAAGAATCTATTCCCCCACTCCCCCTATTTTCAATAAATGATGCTTATTCTGCTTTATGCTAATACAGAATAAAAGGCATTTAGGAGAACTAGAGATTCCAGGTAACTCTTCCAGCAAGACTGTATGTCGTGCTTGGAGAATCACTGGATCTGACCCACATCCAACTATAATATTAGGGGGCAAATCATGCACTACATACCCTTGAGGCCAAAAGATGGAATGATCACTAGCATCAACTTCATGTTCCCAGAGAAGGGACGAAGGCTGCTAAGAACAAGACAACAGAGGCCTCATCTCTGAGCAGGAATTTTTGTTGTGCTGCTCATATGGTCAGACACGCAAGGAAAGACGAAGATTTTGGCAAAGGATAAGATCCCAGCAAAGAGACCTCTGATAAAACAAAAGAAGATGCCAGAGCAAAAACGAAGAGGAAGGAAGACTCACTGGGAGCAGCAAACATGCAAGAATGAAGAGGTCTGTATTCAGCTAATGTAGAGAACAAGTATAACTCTCGTGTCCCGTTAATGGATTGGACTTAGATTATGCTTGGGGTTTTCTTTATATGATTGTAATTAATTGTGTTATTACTTCTAACCTCCAAGATAGCTGAACGAAAAACAACTGCCACCCTGACTCTCCTCCCTCATTAACTACTTGAGATGGTGCGTGTTCTACTCCAGGGCCATGCTGCTCTCTCCAAATGTCATTCCACAAATCTCACAGGAGGATATGACTGGACGGAAGGATCTTCTTCTGGCCTCTGCCACTTCAATGGGGAGAAGCAGACTTAATGCTTTCTCCAAGGAATTAACTCCCTGACAGCAACAACACAGTCAAGGAGGCAAGTCTGGTATAGTCCTCCCAGATTTTTAAAATGACAGACCATGGACATATTATGCACACAATCTGCAACTGGTTCAGAAATACAACAGCTCAAAGAACTTTTAGCAAATCCATCTGAATGGTTCCAGCAGCTTTCAGGTGAGTGTCTGAGGCACAACTGCAAATGTTGTGCCAGAACTGAGTACATCAACCTCCCTAATGATGGAAAGGAAAATATATCAGAGGGAACACAGCTGGTTGGCCAAGAAGTGCTTCTTTGCTAAATGATATCATAAAAAACAGCAGATGACTTATTATTTCCAGAAGCCATTGCTTCACTAGATGTTCATGTTAAGAGAAAAATTATGACTGGTGCTGGTTAGATAGCCTCTAAAAATTGCAGCCGTGTTGCTCTGATTTACA